TCCTGCTTTTCTGTCTATCGCTGAAAGAAAAAAACTTCTGCAAAATCAAGGACTTTTTAGATACTTTAAGACAAACAATGAAAACAGTAAAACTCCTAAAAATAACATTGCCGTTTCCAAACCATTAATTTCTTCGCAAGCATCTACTATACAGAATTCTGAAGTATCAACGTTGCCAACATCTAATCTTCCTTCAACGCATCAGACTTCATCGTCTAATGCTTTAATTGCTCCTGATAACCCTGATCCAATCATGATTCCACAAAGAAATTCATCTCTGTTAGAAAATTTGCCTTTTACTGATAGAATAGAGGTCAATTTATTGCGCGATCTATTAAATGAGACTAAAAACTCTCCCAATATATTGGTGCTGGATATTAGATCTAGAGAAGAATTCAATAAGGGACATATAAAAACAAAAAATGTTGTATGTTTGGATCCATTCCTTTTAGAGGATGGGTAAGTTGTAAATATTAAAAAGTTTCACCTTCAATGCTTCGTTTTTTTTTTTTTTCGATAAATTAAGGAAATGAATATTTCCAAACCCCTTTTTGATAATATCCCGCTTCCGTAATGTAAATTATTAAAACTGCAATAAAAAATTTCTTCCAATTTAACCAAAGATATCTTGGCATCTACTTGACCGATTTCAATAAAAATTAGTCAGGTGAATGCCAAGGTATCTTCGATCAAAGCTTGAAAAATCTTTGCTGTGGCTTCAATGATTTAGAGGATTTATCCAAAAAGGGATGTGGAAATATCCATCCCCTGAATTAACCTTTTTTTTTTTTTTTTTTTTTTACATCTTATTAGGATATCTTCGGTAACCCTTGAATTAAAATTAATAAACTCAGAAAATTGCCCTGAACATGAGCAAAAGCTTTTTTCTGAGCGGCATACTTTTAATCTAGTAGTATATCATGGCCACGGTTCTGAATTACTTACTAAAAATTGTGCCACTAACTTAATTCAAGCAATTTTTGAAAATGAATTTAAAAAGCCATTAAAAAGATATCCTGTATTCTTGGTCGGGGGATTTATTGCGTGGGAACAATTGACAGGTGAAACTGGTGTTGAGCGTAATAATCCTAATATTCAGACAAATCAATTTTCTATATACGATAAGGCTGGAATGGCTAACTTTACTACTCATGGTACGCATGATACGCCTTATGATTCGACGCAAAATGCTGCAAACCAATATGTTAAAGAACCTTCCGAGTCAAATTTCTACAGGTGTATAGAGAACTTTTTTATATTCTGTGTAAAACTATAGCATGAAAACTATATGAATATGCTTTGGTGTTATAATATAAATGATTCAATACATACAATAAAGTACAAACAGAGTACTGAAACAAACTTTTTTATATTTTCAATTTTAAGACCGATAATTTCTTCTCAAGGTCGTGACCTTTTTAAAAGAGCTGGAAAAATTATGAATTTTAATCATAATCGTACACCTTCTATTATACTAAATACTTTGGATTTTGTAAGTAATTATCGTGATTTAAAAAGTGAATTTCT